GTCTGTTTTTGTTTTGGTCTGTGTGACTCCATTCACTACCAGTTTACCCAATAGTATTTCGACACCCTGGGTGCATGTCCTCAATCTGGCAACACGCGTGAGATTCGTTTATATGCTTCTGCAAAATTTTAAAACACCTAAAGAGTTTTAGGTGAGCCAGAATACTTGTAGCTAGACCATATGCAACTACCTGACAGGGTGTGATATATTTTAATCAAAATACTGCGATTAGTGAAGAACAACGTGAAAGAACCAATGTTTTCCCACAAAAACGTTATTCTATATTATTCTAAAAATGATTTAGAATTGTTCATTAATTGCGTTGATTAGCCGTAGAAAATCTGCTATGCTGTTCTTTCAGACATTTGTTTTTGTGTGGATATATTCATAAATTCATATTTCATCCATTTTACTATGGCGAATGAGCAGAGAGCAACGACCCATTTGAAAGTTCTCTGAGTGACGGCCACTGCGGGCGAAAAGCGACAATCAGATGTCAATGTCTGAAATGTTAGAAAGGAGGCGTTAGATTGAATGGTATTTCTAACATGACTATATATCCAAAAAACATCACAGCCGTTTTATTTGCATGCATGCAAACACGTGTGGCAGAACTGTGGGCAGTGACACATGCATACCAATGCATGTAAATGACCGGATTTTGCTTATTCCCAGAAGATCCTGCACTGGGCCGACAGCGATTTCACAGAGCAGTGCGTTATGTAAGTCAGGCAACGCAACACCAGAACTGCGTAACGTTACGGTCCATGTCTATTGTATTATACTCACGCTAATTCTAGTGTGGTAGGGCTAGTCTGATGAGACACATGATCTCGTTCCAGGTGCTCCTTTTAAGTTAATGAGGTCTAATGCCTCTGAAAGAGCCACCTGCATATGTAGCGTTATTTGTTTGGAGGGAGCCCTGATTTGTGGTATTTGTGAGCTGCGGGTGTCAATGGCCAGGCTGTGAAACTGGACACTCCTCTCTCTGGACTCGGTGAAATATTTATCGCTCACCAAATCCTCCGCCGAGCCCCTGCCTCCCGTCACACATGCACATCCGGGCCATGGCTCGACCTTTCCGATGGAATTCCACACGACTTCAAGGACTCTGGACGAGGATTCGCGAACGTTTAGGTGAATAAGAGTGACGCCTCCTGATATTGTGCACACAATACAAGTACAGGAGCCAGATCTGTAGGTGTGAAGCCCTGTTGTTCGGCACCTGTCCTCCCTGCCGAGGGTTGGCTCATCGCTGGGGCGAACCAGGGACTCGTGCCATGCAGTTACTCAAGCGAAGCTCATCTCTCCGCCCTGGAAAGCCGGGGTAAATGCGGACACTCTTGTAAAAGCTCCCTGTATTAGAAGATGTCAAGCAGGAAAGGAGATTGTCCTGTTCAAGAGAAGCGGAGGCTGTGTTTTATTGGTCAGGGTGTAGAGTGCTCATGGGTGAAGGCAGTGAAAAATGCTCCCTACCTGGTTTTCTGTTTGCTTGAGAGAGAAATAGAATCTGAAACAATGTGAATCTCAAAAGAATGCAAATGGTGACACTGTAAGCATGAAAGAGCCTGTGGTGTCACTGGCATCAGAAAACATCTGAACAACTCTTGCTCCGTGTTGA